CTTGGAAAGATATAAATCCGTTTCCTGTCTTGCACCCAATCAGCTGGGGGTTAATATGAAGACAGCTTCAGCTTTCTAGCCTTACTTGGCAACTAGTAGAGCCAGAACCGACTGAAAATGTCACATTTGGGCGGGACATGCCCAACTCCTAACTCTTCAGTATCGATAGAGTTAAAAAAAAAAAAAAAAGTGTCTCTGTGTGGGTAACAAATTATTGTCTACCCTCCAACCTCTCTCTCACAAGTGAGATGTACGAGTCTCTCTCTGTTCTATCGCTATTTCCATGGAAAATGTTCGGACGAACTACATTCCTTGGTTCAACCACGTCTAACCTTTCACGGCTAGGACACACCATGCTACTTACATTATAGCAAACCCCACCCACATTCCTTCCGTATTCTATTGGCGAGATGTAAGTTTCATTCAAATAGTTCCTTCCCGCGAACCAATTACTCATTGGAACCGACTCCCAAGAGTTTCCCCGATCAATACAATCTTAACCTGTTCAAGTTAATCGTTATCTTCCTCTCCTATCCGCATAAATTGTCTCTTAACGTAACTCTCTACCTCGAGAGGCTCCCGGGCCTTGTACAATATGGATCTTACTGTAAAAAAATATATCTAGGAGATCTTCGAATTCAAACCGGTTCGGCATTGGAATAGCAACACCTAATGTGGTGAAGCAGTGGCACTATACATCCTAGGTGAGTCTACAGAGTTAGCATATATTTGTCTGCTATAATCATGTTTAAATATATTTTTTTAACTTTTACCATCGTTTTTAACGAAAAGTGTATTTTGTATTGAAATACTAGATGAAGATGATAAGCCCAATGATTTATGGTTGAGAAGCCAAAACATAAAACCATGCCATTAATGCTGAAAAGGCTCGCTTGTGTCCTTTGTGCGCGCGTGTTTTGTGTTTGACCTAATTAAAAAAAATGTAGGCATATGTCCGATTTACACTAGAGTAATGTTTCCCATATTAAATCTATGGGAAACACTAGTATAAATCGGACATATGTCTACATTTTTTTAATTAGGTCGGATATATGTATACCTTTTTAACTCACTTAAATCGGACATATGTCTACCTATTTGGCTCGTTTACAGTAAAAAGATGAGCACAGAATGCGATTTGCAGGTTGGGAACACTAAAATCAAACATGTACGGAAGTTTAAGTACCTAGGAAGTGTTCTGACGGAGGGCGGTAGGTGCGACGCTGAGATCCGAAGACGGAATGGGATAGCAAAGGATTCATTCCATTTCTGCCTATTAACTTATTTTAACCTCGCTCAAACCAAAACTTTATCGACCTCTTTGATCCACGTGCATAACGGAACTATATTCATTTTTTTTTACTCTTGTGTAAACCGAACCTTTGTCAATCGTATTGATTCTTGGGTAAACCGGATCTCTGACTACATTTTTGACATTTGAAGTAATCCAAAGATATGTCAATCTTTTTAATGCTCCTCTAAACCGAACCTATGTTTACGTCTTTTATTAAGTTTCTCTTTATTTTTTACTAATATTCACCCAATAAAATGCCCAAGAGCAACCCAAAGGAAAGGGTTACTGTGTGGAGATATATTAGCGTAGGAAAGGACAAGCGTTATGTGTATGTAGCTGAAGTAGACTTTAGAAGGAACCAGAAAATCAATCCTAAGCAGTAAACAAGAGGTAACTCTCTGGTTTAAAAGACCGGGGAGGAATTTGAAAGGGGGTGATAGGCAAAACTACGTAATCCTATTGAATTCTATTGTAACCATGACCTAAGTCTACCTTTTTTTTATTCTAGCGCATACCACACTCATGAGGGCGTCTTGAAACTGGTCCTATGTCTAATCTTTTGAACTCACATTCAAACCGGATCAATGTCTACCTTTTTGACTCACAGCAAACCAAACCTATGTCTTCCATTCTATTTCTCATCAAAATGACAGACTTCGGCATTAAATAATCTGGTAAACGCCAATATAGTGTAAAGAATGTATGATTTTTTTTTAATTTATTAACCCGACAGATTTTATTACTTTAAGTTTTATTTTTAGTGGATGTCTATATTTGAGTAAACGCACTATTTATTTATTAATACTGCTTTATTTTGTTTAGTGGCACATCAACATCCTTATGGGTTATTTCATGCCGAAATCTAAATATTTTGAACGCAATTGTATACATTCAACTACAAATAAAATGTAATGTTGGTTATTTTGCTATAAAATGTATTGTTAGTCATTAAATTAAATAAAAATATTTTATGGCTTTAACTAAATTGAATTTTTTAGTGGCATATCAACACCTCGGTGGGTTATTTAATGCCAAAATATAAATATTTTGAACACTGTTTTATGGATTCAACTAAATATATTTTGAGCAGAGTTGTATGCCTTCAACAACAGATGAAATGTATTGTTGGTCATTTTGCTATAAAATGTATTGTTGGTCATTAAATTAAACTAAAAAAAATATTTTCTGGCCTTAGATAATCTGCAAAGAGTTAATTGGTTGAATTTGTTTAGTGGCATATCAACACTTCAATGGGTTATTTAATACCAAAATATAAATATTTTGAACACAATTTTATGGCTTCAACTAAATATATTTTGAGCACAGTTCTATGCCTTCAACGACAGATAAAATGTATTGTTAGTCATTTTGCTATAAAATGGATTGTTGGTCATTTTGCTTTAAATATGTTGGTTGTTTGATTTTGTTTAGTGGCAAATCGATATCTCTATAGGTTATTTAATGCCGAAATCTAAATATCAGGCATGTAATTTTATGCTTTCATCTACATATATTTTGTACGCAATTTTATACTCTCAGAGTAAAAGGTACGTTTTTTTTAGATATATAAAATGTTTATTTTTTTTTAGATATATAAAGTGTGTAGTGTTTCTGGATGACGTGCCCATCGAGATTGGAGCAAAGTGTACTACTATCTATTCTCCTCATTTCTACTAGAAATGATAATATTAGCCATTTCTTTATAAGGAAACATTCAGCATTCATTAACCGAGCAGCAAATGTTCCTCGAGTGACGCTTTTCTTCACACCTTGACTATCGGGCTAGGATCAAAGTGTATTATCTGTTCTCCTCATTTCTACTAGAAATGGTAATATTAGCCGTTTCTTTATAAGGAAACATTCGGCATTCATTGACCGAGAAGCAAATGTTCCTTTAGTGACGCTTTTCTTCACTCCTTGGTCATCGGGCTAGGATCAAAGTGTATTATCTGTTCTCCTCATTTCTAATAGTAACGGTAATAATGGTTGATCCCTTTAAGGAAACATTCGAAATTCATTGACCAAGCAGCAAGGGTTCCTCGAGTGACATTTTTGGGGTTTTTTTTTTCACTCTTTGGCCAACATGCCGGGATCAATGTGTAGTATCTGTTCTCCGCATTTCTAATATTAATGGTAATATTAGGAAACATACACATTGCTTATAAATATAGCATTATTTACCCGTTTCTCCACTGAGGCGAGATGTAACAGAAGGTCGAGTTTAACGTGGAGAATCTAAGCGCGTACGCCCAGGCCATGGCCCAAAATTTCCCATCCCCCGAAACCGTCGGTTGCGCTGGCATCAGTATGACTATAAATCCCACTATCTAGTGTAATGAGGTGGGTACAGTCGCGGGCAGCTGCTCCCCGGGACTGGGCACCACCCAGTATTTTCTGATGATTGTGAATTAAGATGAATGTCCTATTTTATTTTCTTCAATACTTCTCTCGGCAAGTAAAAAGCTCGTCCTAGCTGAGTCGGCTTGTCTTTGAATTTAATCAATATTTTTCGTCTCAAATTTAATCACATTAAACGCTTCATCGATTGATTAATTTCTTGGTTCCACTATTTTTATACGTATTGATCTTTGTCCTTGTCTTTTAATATTTGTGCATACAATTAAACTATTTGTTTATCAATCTGTTTATTTATTCACCTATCACTGTCTGTTCGTATTTTTTTCATGTCTTGTATCCCTTAAGGACTTGAATGATCGTGGCACCACTATAATAACTTTGTCGTTATAGGCAAGGTTTGTTTCTTTTATCTTCCTCCTAATTCATATTCTGCTATATATTCGCACAAACTCTTAACCAAAAAATACTAGCTGATTCCATCAGAACCCCCTGTCTTTAATATGTCCTATGAGAGTCACATTCTCCAAACCTCTTTCCTCAAAATGTGGCCCAGTAATTTCAAATGATTTTTTCTTATTCTAAGTTTGGTGGCCATGGAGGGAAAAAAAAACTCCAAAAAAAACATCATTTGAGGAAAACTTGCTGCTCGGTCAGTAAATGCAGAATACTTCCTTATCAGAAAACGGCTAATATTACCACGTTCCAACCTCTCTCTCTCTCTCTCTCTCTCTCTCTCTCTCTCTCTCTCACTACAATCTTAACCTGTTAACCGTTATCTTCCCCTCCTATCCATACAAACTGCCTCTTAACGTAACCCTCTACCTCGAGTGGTTCTCGGGCCTTGTACAGGATGAATATTACTGTAATATATATATATATATATATATATATATTATATTTTTTTCATATAGACAAAAACAATTTACTCACTACAAACGAGAATTGTTCATAACAATTTTGGTTTTCACCAGTCGAAGTGCAATTTAAATGCACTGAAACGAAGTTGCATCTTTGTAGTGAGTAAATTGTTTTTGTCTATATGAAAAATTATAATAAATAATTATTGCTCTACTATCGTTATTGAGCCTTCATTTGAATTACTGCTGAGAACGTTAGAATTTATATATTATTTTCGTTCTCATTACATTCGTATATGTATATATATATATATATATATATATATAGAGAGAGAGAGAGAGAGAGAGAGATAGATAGATAGATAGATAGATAGATAGATAGATAGATAGATAGAGAAAGAGAGAGATACAGAGAGGGTGGGAGAGGGTGTTAGAGAGAGATGTGCCATGCATGTGGATATTTTGTTCTGTTCACATCTCTCTGCTAATCA